CTTTACAAGGGGACGCAGCAAGTAAACTAGTAAGAAGAACTCTGAAGACGGCGATCACTAACGCTTTCCCCGCGGCGAACTTACGTGTGTCTTTCACTAACTCTCCCCTCCTACGCTTGGGAGGTAAAGACCGACTCCCGTTGCAGGCCATATCGATGTGTATTTATTCATTCACTTGCTCCTGTGGAGCGGGATACATTGGCCGCACAACGAGACGCTTTGAAAATAGAGTACGTGAACACATACAGGACTGGCTAAGCAAAAGGGAAAATAAATCGATCTCGAGTTCTGTTCTCGCACATCTTGTCGAAAAAAGCGCCGAATCGATGCCAACGAAGCATATCAGATTGTCTACCGGACACCAGCAAGCTTCTCCAGAGGCCTACGCCAACGGTGCTAGCTACATCCGAGGCAGTGGCTATACGGCTAGCCAATCCAGTGCTATTCTGTCAGAAGACTCTGACACAGGCGCTCTGGCTTCCGTGGCCGACGCCGACCCCAACGTCGCCCCAACCTCCTGATGCCATGCTGTGTGCACAAGGTACCCAACGTACTCACAGCCTATGGTCCCCTCTCCCTCGCCCACTTAACCCAATGACGACGACACGCCTCGCCATGTGAGTGGCGTGGGAACGATGACTGGCGTGGGAACGATGGATGTTAATTGTCCCCGAATCATTTATAAGTCATGTAATTCGTCCAACTTAAACTTCTTTGTAACCGTGTTGACCTGATGAAAAGTTACTGAAAACAAATGTTTTGCGGCCTATTATTGCCACAATGCGGAGTAGGAATAGCTACCTGATAGAAAACCAAATTGACGAATTAATTCTGCTTGTTACATAAATCGTTATGTGGTCTAGAATGTGTATTCGTGTTCTCCAATAGGAGTCGAAGATTGTTTGAATTCACGTGGTATTTAGACCGCAAACAGTGTGCTGAATTTGTCTTTAGATTATTGACAGTCTGTATCTTGGCAAGATTGTCATTGTTTGACTGGGATTCGATGGCCGCTACTGTCGTCGTAAGCACTATCAGTGTTGACTTGGTCAGTAAAATCGACTATTAACTGGCTTCAAACAAGGGTGCATAACGTTTATCTTGTTTTGATATCCGATTGTCGTCTGTTGGCGGTTTTCGCACCAAAACCTACACGTTGTGACATGAGGGATGGAACCTACAATAGGTGGTTTAATCCGCGAAATGTTAACCAAAATTCCTAACTGCGTTTTCGGGCTGTACGAAAAACTATACTTTGTAAAATATGACTACTTATGCAATATGTATTTTTCTCATTAATGTTTAATGTTGTTAAAGATTCAATTAGATGCCGTAGACGACATGAATAAATTATGTATTTATTTGTAAATTCGGTAGAAAATTATGTCTTCCTTCAATTGTATGCTCATACGAATTGTATAAATTGGTTTTCAAAGACCTTTTAATTCCTGCATAATTATGATCATGGTCTGCCGTTGAACTTGCATTCACTGTTTACAAAATGCAAGCCGTATATTTACTGTATACGAAAACCCTACTAACTATCATACTACATACAGAAGGTGTACTAACTAACACAATGTTAACTGAAATCCTGAAATGCTTTTTTACTCAAAATGTTTACTAAAGTAAAGTTTCAAATAGCTCACCTTGCATCATAATCCCATGCTAATTCACTTACCTCGGGATATCAGCTTGTAAAAGGTTGTGTTTTCGGCACAGACATACCGCCACACAAAACAAACTAGAACGCGTTTGTATTTTCTCACAAAATAGTGGGGAGAAATAAAAAAGACAAAATGGTTGAAATCGTGCAATGCGTTCTCATATAGAAAAGGCTACTTAAGTAGAGTTGTAATATTAATTACCGTACAGCAAAATCCCAAGACATTCCAGTTGCTTCCGGTTGCGAAGTTATCACGAACTTTGCTTCCGTTGACTCTAGAAATCACTCTTTACATAGGACTACGTAAGTGGCATACATTTTTCCCATTAATTTTTGGCGTGCTTGTAAATTCGAATGTGTTTCGAGGAAAACACGCATAAAATATTTATCATTCCATGCATTTCAATGAAAATAACGTCCTTTTTATTATTTTGCTTAAGGAAGGGGAGGAATAATGAGTGAGCGCGCTAGCTACAAAGTATGTCTGCTATCACCATAATCTAATTCAGCCACAATCGTTTAGCTACATCACCAGTCTTGGAATTACAGCCCTGTCGAGCGTATCTTATGCTACCTATTTATATTCTGCCGACTCATTCTGATATCTCTCTCTCTGCGTGACCGTCAGCGGACTCGCTTTTCCCTGCCACCTTTAAGGCCACCGTAATTATAATGTAATCAGCATGACAGTTGTCACTCACAAGATCGTCCGCCAGACGGATCAGTCATTGCGGCTAATGAACATGGGCGTTGGCTTATTGAGCGCGTCAATGAGCGAGTGTTTCATGCTGGCCGCATAACGTTTGGTTGGATTTTTCACTCTTCACCGAGAGCTGCGATTGCTAGTGCCGTGTGCTATTGCTCCCTTGTCCTGATTACCCGGTTGGTGCTGGTTTAATACTTGCCCCAACTAGTGTGTATGCCTGTCAATGGCATTGCTTAAAAGGTTATCCATTCTTTGTCTAAAGGACTGAACGCTTTCACAAGAACAACCAAATTATGTAGTTTTTCGATTTCCAATGGTGTGGTGAGGGACGACGTTGGCTCGTACTCCTAGTTTGGCATACTTTGTCTTCGACTTATATGGGTGACCTCCGAGATTTTTCTGTTTTGTTACTTTAAAATATCGGTCAATTTTACCTCACAGTCTACTACTCTGACGGGATAAAGAACATGGTTATGTGCCATATGTACATACTATAGGAGACAAAAAAGCTGGAGCTTTTCTAGTAATTCATCAAAAAGTGGGCTCTTTAGGCCACTGCCTAGTTTAGTCGCTCGTCGTTGCACCTTCTCCAAGAAAGTGTAGTCTCGCTTTATTCAGAGGCTTCAGGCCTGAAGGCCATATTTTAAAGGCGGTTAGATAGATGTTCCAAACAGTTCATCGAAACGTTCTTCGCGAAAGTTCTGAAAGGATCTCCTTATCGTCCCCATGATACCCATAACTTTCTTTGCTATTTGTTCGCACTGGAAGTAGGGTTTGAGTGTGGACCTATCCATACACCAAGGTCATTTACCTCGCATACAAGCTGCAATTCATGTCTGAAGGGAAAGTTCTGATATTTGGATACCAAATGCTTTCTGTTCCTATACCTAAGTTTGATGAATTGCGATCTGTTTAAATTAAGGCTTGGAAGTCATTTGTTACACCACTGCTGCAGTCGATATATGTTTTTTGCAACTTTAGCGCGTCCGCTGGCTATTCAGTAGAACCCTTCATCTTCATGTCATCAGCCAACATTAGTTTCTCCCCCATAACGACGATTTTCGTGGTTCTTGATGTAATATCCTCATTTTGACCTCAAGCGTTCTGGCGACGCTCGCTGTGAAACCGTCTGGTTTCGCCGTCTAGTATTTTGATTGAACCTCCCTTGCCCACTCCATGGCTGGGCTCAAAGTGGACTGTGAATAATCGCGTCTGAGTTCCTCTTGCCTCGCCACTTTGATTCGAGTCGTCTTATTCCTGCGTATAACTAATGTCCTGATGATGTCCGTTTCGAATCTCGTATATAATAACGCATGCAGGCCAGTCCTGTTTGACTCGCATACTTACCCCTCATGTCTGACAGTTATTCCTGCCTGGACGATGTCCGTTTATAACCAGTTATACACTGCTACATGCAGACCGGTCCTGCTTCCATATTTATCCTCGCATAAGCGACAGATGATTTCTCCTGTAAATTGTATCCATTTTATCAATTAGCTTAACAGATTACTAATTCAGAAACTGTAAAATGCATATTTAGTGCGGATCCTGCCTACCTCATCTAAAATTCATATGAAAAATATGTTTTTTGCGTTGAAATGACCCCGACGGGTCTTTAATGCAATAATTTTATTTTATTTTACACACAGTCAGTCCTGTCTCACAAACTTGCAAGTATCAAATGAAAGCTCGCGTAAAATTCATAGGAAAGTATATTTTTACTCGCTTTTAAAGGACCCTGACGGCTCCTTAATAAAATTATCTCATTTAATTTATTTTATGCACGGTAGATCCTGTCTCTCTAAACTGCTCATATCAACAGAAAAATGGGCGAAATCACTAGAGATAACTTTGTCAGCAGATGCGGTCTACACTGACTTCCACGAAGCCCTTGACGGAGGTACCACACAGACGGCTCGTATCTAAATTGTGCCATATGGGTGTGACTGGTAACCTACAATACTGGTTGACCGACATCCTCACAGGCCGTCGTCCGCGTATGGGCAGTTCTGACGCCAAATCGAAATGAGAAACCGTTCACAACCGGATTCCGCAGAAGAGCGTCCTAGGTCCCACTGTATTTATATATGTGAACGATTGCCTAGAATGGCTCACCTTCAAAAAGATAATGTTATGCTGATGATCGGAAGATATAGAATTCGACTAAAAAATTGAGGTAGCGATTGCATCTAAAGAGGTTCCACATTAGATAGCCCACTGACTCGTGCGTAGGGATCAATTTAATATCAGCAGAGTACGGTTGACCGACTAGCTAACGGACTTGCCATAATGGATATGGAATGTAAAAGTCAAATATCTAGATACAGAATGATTTTGTGTATGTTTATTGCAAAACAGTCGGCTTCCGACCTTCGATTCTGTCTCTACGTTCACACTTATTGAAGACATTCTTTGTAGTGGGTATCCAACAGGCCCGTTTTCAAAAAGGAGTACAAGTCAGTAGGTATCTTTAGAAACGCTAATAAAATGGGGTCTACGCCTTTATTAGCGCGTACAGTAGCATTTGTTGGTGAACTGAAAAATTGAAGGGAGGACAGTCGAATCTTGTTTGGTGCGTTGATTTCCTTTCCCCAATAAGTGATATCGAGAGTCGCCTCTAATTTCGAGTCAGGTAGGTCGAAGAGAAGTTGTATTTCCTATAATAAAACCAAGTCGATTAGAATATTGGGTTTCATGTAACACATACAACCAAGAGAAAATATAACATGAAAGCCATTCACACTTATTATCTTACTCGCTTTTCAATATGCAATTTGGCTTCAAGAAATGGTGATCGGCATGTGTACTGTAGGTAGTTGGCGGTCACTACATCTCGTAGAAATGTGCAAGTGAAATGTAGGGATGCCCGGTCTATGAGCACTTTCAAATTCAAACGCGAATTTCCTAGTAGGAAACCTTTCCTCTCAAAGCCTGCACGATAAGCCTGATGGGCCAAATACTTTGCGACGTCATCGAGGATAATATCGTAGCCATTTCTCGGACATTGGGGTATTTCTTGGAGTATGGATGTTCGAAGAAGTAGTACAAAAATTAATAACTGAGGATTTTTTTTCAGAGTTTGTGATTATTACCTTGCAAACGTTGTATTTATCCAGCTAATATTGGTCATATAGTATTGTAATAGAAATGTACAAATATATATCATAATTGAAGTCTCTTCTGCTACGTCTTTCATGGGTTGGTACATTATGTAAATGTGAAATCCGACTTACCGTTTATGAAAAAGCAGGATTCTACGCAGGGAAACGAAATGGCAAGCACGATAAAAAGATTCATTCTTTTGTCACACCTACGTGAATTTTCAATTTATAGTCTAATGTGACCTAAGCTACCAACCGGGTGATCAACTACATTGTCATAGGATCATTTGTCACACGGGTTAACAGGTCCATTGTCAGGTGTGTCGGGCGTAACGAATCGGCGCATAGAAATCTGCTCCTCTGTATCCTAAACTACACTGAGCGGTGATTGCAAATATGAATGCAGCATTTCAAGTTGCCAGTAGTCAACCAACTGACTGATGTTATAGATTTTTGCGCGCTTTTGATTAGCTATACAGCGGCACGCAAACTACAGCTACCCGAACTATTTGAAAGTAAGTCAGTTGCCTCGACATGCCCACCGCTACGATTTGAGAGTCAAGCATGTATTCAAAAAATGCAAAAGAGACAAAATTATTAACTAAGAAAAACAACGTTTATGAGCGGTGATTTCAAAGTTACCAGTGGTCAGAGAATTGACTTATTTTGCACTTTTCGCGTGTTTTTGCTGAGATATACAGTGGCAGGCAAACTAAAGGTACCCGAAGTAGTCAAAAACAAGCTAGTTGCCTTAACATGTCCACCGCTACGATTTTAGAGTCCATAAGGTTTACAAAAAAATTCACGAGAGATAAAATCCTTAGCTACGAAAAACAACTATTTATGGACCTACCTGGCTACTGGATCGTGAACAATAATTGATGACAAAGTAAAAACCCCATATCTGACAATAAAGCACTTAAGTCTGGTCATCTCCTTCAACAAGTTTCATAACATTCGCCTTATGCACCTTTCACCTAACTTTACCCGCCAGTTTACGCATAAACACCGCCTTTTAAAACTGTACCCCAACAACCGCGGAAGACATTTCGCGGCAACGGATACCCCGACAGGTTTATCCTCCGAAATAGTTGGGAACGCACAGCAAAGACGGCTGTTGCAGCTGCAGATAAGAGATTGCCTTTTGCAGGGGACGCAGTGAGCCAACTAGTCAGACGGCGCTTAACTACGGCTATCACGAGAGCATTTCTCACGCGAATTGACGCGTATGTTTTACAAGCTCTCCGTCCTACGTTTTGGAGATAAAGGCGAACTACCGTTGGAGGCCACATCAATGTGCATCTACTCATTCACTTGCCTCTGTGGAGTGGGATACCTCGGCCGTACAACGGGACGCCTGGCAAAGAGGGTGCGTAAACCTATGCCCGCCTGACTAGATAGAGGTAAGACCCGATCGATTCCGAGTTCTATTCTCGCACGTTTAATCAATACGCATTACCGAATCGATGCCAAGGCCCACGCCAACGCATGCTAGCAAAGGCCGAGGCAGTGGCTAAGCAACTGGCGAATCCGGTGCTATGCTGTTAGAAAACCATGACACTAACGCTCCCTCTATTGTGGCCAACGCCAATTCCAAGAGGTGACACTGTGGAGATGAACTAATTCATTTTTGGACACATAATAACGAGGGGGGTTGCATATATAGGTTTTTTTCTCGTACCATTTATAATATTCTTCAAAGAGGATTTCGTCAAAGCGAAAATAAATCAGATCGGTTGTCGGACCTATCTGATGTTAATGTTAGTCTTTTGCAGTAAAATTTACTGAAAACCGCTTCAGCTTAGTCAGATTTGTATGTATGTAGTCTCGAAAATATCTTCGCCAAGAAATAAAGTCAAGAATTTGAGGCGGAAGAAAAAACAATTCTTTTTCGTCCGGAAGCAAATGCGCGTTAGACGCGTAAAAGTTGTGCGTCATTTTGTACATTCTGGAAATATGTACTTCCTCTATCTTGTACGAGGATGACATGATGATTTACATTCTTAGGCACATATGTCTCCGAAAAATTGCGGTCGATTAAAGCAAGTGGACATTTTCAGTATGCAAATAAACGAAACGTCCTCCTCAACGAATGTGCTGATTTTTTGGCCTCACAGGAACATGGAGATGGTAGCATTTAAGCCTGCAGAAAGTGCAAATCTTGGGAGCATTTTAGCTTAGAAATTTTCGTTCGTTTTGCTACATGCATTCCAGTCATTTTCAAAATCAACCGTTCTGTGGTTGCTGATGTATCAGTTTTTTAAGGTCGTTTATTACCAAAAGTGTCTTCTTTCCTGGAAGATGAAAACGATATTGGTATATTTGAGGAATAAATGATACTTATAATATTCCACTTTACTTGCAAATAAGTCAGCAATCCAATGTACTTATTTGTAGCAATATGGTCGTATATAAGACACATATTTTCAGTGAGTAATACTTGCGCCCTATGCGAACACTTGCTTCAGGGCCTGTATTGTCTTGGTGTATTTAGGAAGTATTAATTTCAATCCTTTCTTAAGTCCGGTGAACGACTTCTTTTTCTTCTCACTAGCAAGTAACACGGATCATAAATTTTCATAAAATTCTAAAATTCTGGTATGACGTTTCTAGATCTTCCTGAATTAATGTTAGATAAAGTGCCATGTATGTGTACCTCCTAGTTTGTTCACTGTATAAAGACAACGCCAGTTTACGCACATGACCCACCCTCTTTATGTACTAACATGTTGTTTAATTGTCAACTGCTGTTAGTGGGCTAACTCATGAAATGTTTGCCGAAATATGAATTCTTTTGCAAAAGGTTAATTAAGTAGTGTTTAAAACGAATCATCATACAGGATAATTCTATAATGCTTCCATTGTCTCAGGGGCCGGCTTTTGAGCGAACTTCTTCGTGGCTGCATTCAAAAATGATAAAATATAAAAGTGACTGCTTAATTAGTAAGCATGTTTCCACTCACTTTCGAGGGCCTTAAAAATTAAATCAGAATTAAATGAAAAAATGCGTAAAAATATTCATTCTTTAGCTCATTCAGTAGAAAAAATATGTATTCTTTAAACTATATACTCGATGGAAGGGTATAATTTGGTTTCTAAAACTCTACCAATTCCCAACAAATTTTGAACTCGCTCTGCTGTTACACTTGAATTCAGGGTTCCAAAACTTCAAGCCGTATAATTTCCGCGAACAAAAAACCATACAATTCCCTAGAGTATTAAGAGAAAACCATATGGGGTTCATAAAATTAAGCAGTGCCATTGAGCCATATTGTAAATACAGAGACATGACGTTTTATGACGACTTCACGGTATTTAAAAATCTCACATTTCGAGACTATTTAAAAAACCGAATTATAATCTTTCTCCGAAGAAACAATTTAAAGAAGACGTAATTTTCTATTGATTGAGTAAAAGAATGAAATTTTTTACGCGTGCTTTCTTTGGAATATGATTGAATGCATGCTAATTAAGTAGACTTTTGATGGAGTATGTTTTTTGGATACAGCCTGAGAGAAGTTCTTTCGCGAGTCGGCGTCTTGAGGCAACATAATTATTATAGAATTATCCTGCAAGATGATTAGATTTAAAAGTCAACATTACAGATATTTTCGAAATGAAAACGCATTTCGGAAGTAAGGCAACATTCATGAGTAAGCCCATCTTCTGTATCCTGCTAAAAATTTCAGCAGGCAGAAAGCATCCAATAAAAAGCAGGGTAAAAAAGCAGAGGGTTCACTGTGAATAAAAGTTGTCAGGCAAGATAGAATTTTGCAACGGACGGGAAACCTGATTGCATATATCAAACTATGCTTTATATGATGAAGAAATATTTAAGTATACATAGAGCAACCACACTAGGGCTAAGTAAAACGTCAGTTCAAATGAGCACAAAAAGAGCTCAGGTGATGTCAGGCCAGCCGCTGTACGTTTTTGTGAACATGTACTTTCCGCACTTAAATAGGTTGTTCCACCATAAATTATGCCCAAATGCATTTTTTGTCGCCTATATAGTGTTCAGTACGCAATCGTGTCGAACATAACCACATAACTTGCAGCTCTTCTCTACTAAAACACATTACTTTTCGGAACAAGCAGGAAAGTGTCCTACTGTACAGTGATATCTGCCACCCCATATACCTCAAGTTGATATACAACTATTTAGAAAATTTAGGGGAAGTGCAGTGTATCCGTAGCTCAGAAATGACCTAAAATATGCATGGTATTTGGTCAACATTATCATCTATGGTCGCCCTGATGGGAACAAGAACCGGTGATTGATCTATTAATGTGTAAAAACAGAAAATCTTACACTTCCGATATTTCCTTATGGTCGTCAGTTAGATTGTCAACGCGATGCATCCTTTCCTTTTATTTTTGCTCATACACGCCAACACTGTTTATTTTCCCGTCTAGCGCAAGCAGTATTTGCTCGGTAAATGTGGATTACGTCATTTTTATAGGGCGTGGTACAAATGTATGAAAAGCTGTGTTTCCCCATAAACGTTATGTTGCAGCTAAGATTAACATTCCAGAATCTCTCATGACGATGTCTGTCGAGTGTAAGTTTAATCGGATTTCGAGGTGCTGGATCACGTGTGGCAAGTTAAGACGGCGTACAGATCACCTACCCGTAAGACAGACCATAGGTGAAACTGATGGTTTTGCAGTTTATCAAAGGTTCTAGTAATAATGGCGCAGGACGGGCACTTTCTGTGCAGTTGGTGATAACTGGCCAACATTATATTCACGGTTCGTGTTGCTCTGGTAGCTTAAAAGCAGGTTTACAGTCCATGACCTGCTCTTTTACTTTAAGTTCATCTCAACCGGACGAGGAATCTATAATCCCTTCGAGAAAAACGGTTTCACAATCATGCTGGGCACTCACTGCGAGCGAAAGAGAGTCAAATTTCTCTAACTGACTGCTTCATATTAACAGTAGGCTCTGTCATCCCTTATTCGAGTTATTAAATTGATAAATTATGCCACGCTGCATATAGAAGTTGACATTTCCTATATTGCTGTCGTTGCCATTATTATTTTGGAAAGACAAATACGTTATCATAAATCTCGGGAAATATATTGTGGGGCAGGAGAAGAGGACATCTTTAAAAGACTTGGGTCTAGTCTTACCTTCGTCAATTGTCTTGCTTTCGCAACGAGCATGACCTTTATTATCTATTTGTTTGATTGCTAAGGGCTTCGTAAATGCATTCAATTCTGCGTTACCAAACAAATTGTGGTTCATTCGGATTTACGTCTTTTGATTGTCTTTAGTATTACTGCGCGTTTTTGTGAAATTCTTTGAATTAATTCGAGGTGAATAGATGATTTTTGACCACGGGCAACAGATGTGTTGCGATGTCACCTTCGGCCTGACTCATACAGGATCTCGACGAAAATATACTTATACTCATCACGCAGTTAAACTATAGATATTATGTTCCTATGTGAACATATGCACGACAACGTTCAAAGCCATTCGACCGATCGAGCAGGCGCCTAGCATGCCCACCAAATCACACACCGGGGTATAGCAAAACAAAGGCTAGTATGTATGTCCGACCGAGAGCATACATTGAATTTGCTTCCCTGTTGGGCACTGAGAAATAAACCGACCAATGTTTAGTCATGTTTCTTTTAATAAACACTAGTTGAATCACAGCGGCAATTCAGATCTAGTAATAACTGCAACGCAGTGATTTTCCGCGAAACTTAGCCGGGCTGGTTGTTCACGAGTATAGATGTGCTTTGTTATACCCATTGCCTTTAAAGTGAGGACAAATTAACAATTAGACGCTAGCCAGGTCGCAGACTGAGAGCATTAACTGCATCCTCAATGAGAGGAGTCTAGAGTAGAAGTTTCAAGTCTTGTTTCCATCATCGCTGTAGAATCCAAACCCCAAAACAATGATACTCGGAGGATTCCGAAACCCAAGTATTAGGCACTTAAACAATTTAGTGTGTAAATACTTGACAATCATTAACAACGTCTTCCAATAGCTAACTGTTTCAGAAACAGTACGATATACAGTGGTAGGTTCTGATAAACAGACAGGAGACTTATGGGGAGCATAGCCTTCAACACCTTCCGGGCGCTGTATATTTGAGAGCGGGATGAGGGTTGTACTAGAAAATGTACCGATGTCCACTACCAAGCAATCAAATAATATTAGATTTAAGACTGCAGTTTCGCAGCGGTCGATTCAATATGAAAATCCAATATGATATGCAGTGCCAAGGGTTGAGAAGGGAATTGCTACTGCCAGTTTTTAATCGTATGCGTTCAAAAGCGACCTGTAAATCTGGGATATTTAAAATTAAGCACTGATAAGATGACGCCAAACGTAATGCCCACCTAAAGTCCAATATAGCCAAGACATAAAAACCAGTGAGAAATATGCGCTTTTAATCTACAGATCCACTGAGTTTTTGGGCTGGGTGCAAGTTCCGTCTGGAAATATTTTAGGCTTAACACTTATCATATCATGCACACGATGACAGTTTTATAACGCAACAATATGGAACGGAGACATAGACAGCCAACGCCTGAGGTGGTAGAATAGAATACTCGCCACCGACATTATTGAATGGATCGAAATTCTCAGCATACATGCAACATTTCTGCAAGTTGCGTATGGTTGTATTGACAGGTCAACGTGATGATATATGAAAACATTTGTTAAACAGTCCATTTATAATTTATCTGAACAAATTCCTCCGATGTCCATTCAATGAGTGTTGTTAGAAGCTCAAAGTCTCATTCGATCTTCCGTGAGAATAACAGACAACTTAGAATTTAAGAACAATTATGCCTAATTGTATGACACTAAATAAAAGCCGCACCGTCGGTAAATCACATTCCCGATACCCTTCTCAGCGGCTTGAGATTGCTTGCTTGTTTGTTGCGACGAGAATTCGTGTTAAATGACGACGACGGTTCAACTTAGTACCTCAGCAATCTACACCGACCTTTTTATACAAGCCAATCTACACCCATGTCATCTCAGAAAGTCACTCACTTTTGCATCTGTAAAAACCCTGCTCCAATTCATTTCAGGAAACTGGTCACACATTTTCCTGATGACCTCTCATTCAGTGCAGTAAGTATATTAAGGCCTAATCCGTCTGCCACACACGGGCACTAGCCATCACGGTTCATCTGACAGACAACCCAGACTTACGCAGTCTGGCCTGCTTGTCATCGAGATGTCTGCCAAACTGATTCCTACCTAAGAAAGTTAATCGTTTTTTGCCTAATTAAGATGGTAACCCCTTGAGATCGTTTCTAGCGATAAAAGGAAAGGCGGTAACAGAAGAAAGAAATGAGCGTCAACTTGCAAGTAGCCCCAACTAGGTTGCATGTCCGTATCGAATTCCGTTTATAATACCGCATGCAGGTCAGTCCTGTCTGACCCGCACGCTTATCCCCCATGGTTGACATTTATTTCTGCTCTTAAGATGTCCGTATATAATAGGTTATGCACTGTTACTGCAGGCATATTTATCCTCTCATGAGCAGTAGCTGTTTTCTCCCGTAAAGTTAATTGATCTATTTTTTTCATTCTAAATGAGTTTTTTTGCACTGTTAGCTCATTATTTATTTTTACGAATTGCTACATCAGGAACAGTGAATTGTATATGTTGTGGTAAGTCTGCTTAGCTCGTGTAAATTTCATAAGAAAAGATATTTTTACTTGTTTTTAAAGGACCCTGATGGCTCCTTAATAAAATTATTTCGTTTTTTTATACGCGGTAGATCCTGTCTCAACAAACTGCTCATATCAACAGCAGCTGCTGCCTACGCTGACTTCTACAAAGCCCTTAACAGAAGTACCACACAGACGGCTCGTATAAAAATTGCGCCTTATGGGTGTGACTTGTAACCTACTCAAAACGTTTGCCGACATCCACAAAAGGCCGCTGTCAGCGTTTGATGACCATAAGAGCCAAATTGGAGTGAGAAACCGTTCACAATCGGGTCCACAGGAGAGCGTTTTGGGTCCCATTGTGATATTTATATATGTGAACGATTGCCTAGATTGACTGACCTCCAAAAAAATAATGTTTGTTGGTGATCTGAAGATATGGAATACGATTAAAAACAGGAGGACGCCATTACATCTTGAGCGGTTTCACATTAGACAGCCCAATGACTCTTTCGTAAAAATCAAGTATATATCTATAGCGTTTGGTCGACCGACTTGCCTTAAATGCACCGAATTTAGAAGCCAAATATCAAAACACAGAAGGGTTTCGTATATGTTTATTGCAAAACAGTCGACTTCTTACCACGAACTGCTTCTCCACGCTCACAGTTATTGAAGACATTCGTTGTAATGTGCATCCAACAGACCCCTTTTCAGAAATTTGTAAAAGTCAGTAGAAGGCACTTTTAGCAAAGCTAATAAAATGGGGTCTATGCCTTCATCAGTGCGCACAGTAGCATTTGTTGGTGAGGTTAAAACATTGGAGGGAGGACAGTCAAATCTTATTTGGCGTGTTAAATTCCTTTCCCCAATAAGTGATATCGAGAGTCACGTCCAAAGTCAAGTCAGGTAGATCGAAGAGAAAATATCCTTATAATCTCCACATGTTAGTAAACCTTTGCGATAACAGTTCCTAATATAAAAACAAGTCGATTATAATAATGTAATTGTCGTACCAAATACAATTAAGAGAGACTCGTACGAGAAAGTCTTTTTCGCTTGTCAACTTACTTGCTTTTCAATATGTAATTTGGCTTCAGGAAAAGGGTATCGGCATGCGTACTGTAGGTAGTTGGCGGGCGCTACGTCTCGTAGAAATGTGCATGTGAAGTGTAAGGATGCCCGGTCAATGAGCACGTTCAGTTTCTAACGCGAATTCCCAAAAAGGAAAACCTTTCTCTCAAAGCTCGAACGATAAGCCTGACGTGCCAAATACATAGCGACGTCATCGAGGATGATATTGTAGCCGTGTTTCGGACATTTGGGTATTTCTTGGGGCAGAAATGTTTAAGGAATTATTAAAAAGATAAACGATGAATGATTGTGTTCAGAGTTTGTGGATATTACTGAGAAACTATTTATTAAAACAGTTTACAATGGTCAAATGGTATCATAACGGAAATATTCATATTTATAGGATAATGGATGTCTCTTATGCAAGGTTTTTAATGGATTGGTACATTATGTAAATTTGAAATGCCATTTACTGTTTATGAAGAAGCAGGATTCTGCGCAATGAAGTAAGATGTGGAGCACAATCAGAAGATTCATTTCTTTGTCACAGTAACGTGATTTTTCAATTAATATACTACTGTAGCTTAAGTTACCAACCAGACGAGCAACTAAACTGTCGTACAATCATTGGCCACGCGGGTTGACAGGTGCATAGGCAGGTGTGCCTGACATAAAAAATCGGCTCATAGAAATCTGTTTCTCTGTACCCTAAACTACGTCAAGTGATGATTTCAAATACGAATTCAGCCTTCAGGGTTACTGGCAGTCAGATAAAAGACTAGAGTAGGTGGGGTTACTTATGAAATTTAAACTGAAATTCCGAAATACGTTTTTGCTTAGAACATATTTACTAGGTAGTGTTGCGAAACGACTAATTCTGCAGTAAAATTGTTAATAATTCAGTTGCCGCATGATGTGGGCTTTCAAAGGAACTTCCTTGCGCCTGCATGAAAAACCTATCTTTGTAAAAATGACTACTTGCGTTGAGGGTATTTTTCTCATTGGTTTTCGTTGCCTCTAAATGTCTAATTATATTTTATGAAAAACATGCATAAAAATATTTATGTTTTCGCTTATTTGATAGACCCTTCCATCTCCTTTAATTTGTGCACGAAGGAATGGCATCATTTAGTTTATAAAAACCTTTCCAATCTCCGAATAGTTTTGAATCCGCTCTGCCGCCACACTCGCGTTCAGGGTTTCCACGTACGGAAAACTACACATTTTTCTGCATATCGGGTTTATAAAATTTGACGCTGGATTTGATCCATATTGTTAACTTAAAAAGTCGCATTGGTAAACACAAAGACATGACATTTTATGAGCGATCATTTCACGGTATTAAAAAGCTTCCCTAGAAAGAACTATTTTAAAACCGAATTATGCCTCGTCTCCAAGTATAAATTTGAAGAAAGACGTGATGTTCTAATAAATACGTAAAAGAATGGATATTTCTATGTATGTTTCCCATGAACTATAATTGGACCTTTAGGGGCAGTGAAAATCAAAGAGAAATATACATACTACGTAAGTACACATTTTAATACAAAAATAGTTTTTGTATACAGGCGGAATGAAGTTCATTTAAAAGCCGGCGTCCTGAGGCAACTGAATGACTATGCAATTTTACAGCAGAGTGATTAGTTTTACACACCTGCTTAATTGATATTTTCATAACAAAAACGCATTTCGGAATTTCGGTTGACATTTAATGAATTAGCTCACCTACTGTAAGTTTATAGTGTTTTTGCGATCTTGTTAAGAATGTACGGTGGCAGGCAAAATGCAGCTAACCAAACTAATCGAAACTAAGTCAGTTACCCCAGCATGTCCATTGCTACGATTTGAGTGTCAATCAGTCCTTTGAGGAAAGATTCACGACATATGAAATCCGTAGTTATGAAAAGCAGCGATTGACAAACCTAGCAGGCACCTGGATATTGAAAGATATTCAACAACAAATTAAAAATCCCGTATGAGAATATAAACCATCCATGTCTGGTCGTCCCCCTCAAAGAGTTTCATAACATTCGCATTCTGCGTCCTTAACGTAAAACTAATCGCCAGTTTACGCATAAAAACTGGCTTTAAAAAGTACACCACAACAACCGCGGAACACTTTTCCCGACAACGGTTACCGTGATAGGTTTATACTCCGAAATATTTGGGAAGGCAGTTGTGACTGCAGATATGAATGGTGTATTCATGAAACTGCCTCTTGCAGGGGACGCAGAGAGCAAACTAGCCAGACGGAGCTTGGTTACGGCTATGACGAGGACATTCCCCGCGACGAACTTACGCATACGCTTCACAAAATCGAACATCCTATGTTTGGGAGGTAAAGGTAGACTAACGTTAAGGACCATAACAGTTTGTGTTTAATCATTCACTTGCTCCTGTGGAGCGGGGCACAGTGGTCGTACAGCAAGGCGCCTGGTAATGAGGGCGCGTTAAATTATGCCTAACTGCTTAGAAAGAGGTGGGGTCCGATCGATCGCGAGTTTCATTTACACACATTTAGTCGATGCGAGACAGCGAGTGGATGTCAAGGAAGCATTTTAAATTGTCAAGTGGACATCAGCGACCTTCTTTAATCGCCTACGCCAATGGATACTAACACCGGCCGAGGCAATGTCTGTGCAACTATCTACTCCAGTCCTATGCTGTCAGAAAACGCTGACACTAACGTTACCTCAACCGTAGCCGAGGCCAATCTCAAGTGCTGACACCATGTAGATACAATACTTCATTTTGGGATACTTATAATAACGGGAGGCGTTGAATTTATAAGATATCATTTTTCTTCTGATGTTTATGGTATTCTTCAAGTGGAATTTCGACAGGGCGAAAATGCATTATATAAGTTTTCGGTATCTTTTAATCTTTATGCTAGTCCTTTGAGTTAAAATATGCCGAGAACCGCTGAAGCTCAATCAGTTATGTAGTTATACAGTCTGGAAAATAGCCTCGCCTAGGAAAAGAGTCATAAATTCGAGTCGACAGAAGAAAACAGTACTTTTTCGTCTTGAAGTGTATGCGCGTTGGGCGGATAAAAGTTGTGCGGCATTCTGTACGTTCTGGAAATACGTACTTCCTCAAAACATTTCACAACCATCTTTTACACATGGATGTCATGATGGGTTATTTTCGAGGCATATATGTCTTCGAAAAATTACGGTATATTAATGCCAGTGGACATTTTCAGTATTTAAAAAGAAGAAATGTCCTCCCCACAGAATCTGCTGACTTTTCGGCCTCAAGGGAACATGGTAGTTTGTTGGTCTACAGCAAGTACACGTGTTAGAAGCATTTTTAGTTTAGAAATATCTGATCACTCCTCTGCATGCATTTCAGACATTTCCTAAGCCAACCGTTCTGTGGTTTATGATGAATTACTTTTTATGGTCGTTTATTACTATAATTGCCTAGATTCCTGGAAGATGTCGACGATATTATTGTATTTTTGGACTTCACTATATTTATAATATCTCAACTCTCTTTCGCAAAGAAGTCAGCAAAATAATGCTCGTATTTATAGCATTATGGTCGTATATAAAACTCACATTTTTAATGAGTTAGACATGCGCCCTTTAAAAAGGCAGTGTTTAGAGACCTTAGTTGGCTTAGTGAATTTAAGCAATATCAATTTGACTCATTTCGTAAGTCTGGTACACGACGTTTTTTTCTTCTCCTCAGAAGCAAGTAACACGCATTACTATTTTTTCTTAAAATGCCAAGACCCTGATGTGACGCTTCTGGATATTCCTGTCTTGGTGGTAGCGAATATGCCGAGTGAGTGCATTCCTTATTTTTTTCATCGTATATAGACAACTGCATTTTGCGTAAATGACGCCGACCCTCCTTCCTCGGGCTCAACAACGTTGTGAATTGGTCAACTATTCTCCAACAAATTTAAGCAAGCAGAAAGCATTCAATAAATAGCGGATTAAGAAGCGCAGAGGGTTCACTGTGGAAAAAAACTGTCAGGCAAGAAACAGTGTTGCATCAGACGTAGAAGTTGGTTGTTTATACCAAAACCTGCTTTGTATGATGCAGAAATATTTGCGTATGCATCGAGTAACCGCACTTAGGATAAGTATACCATCAGTTCACGTGCGCACAAAAAGAGAACATGTCCTGTCAGGTCAGCTGCTGTAAGTTCTTGTTAACATGCTGAAATAAGCGGTCGTTCATAGTACTTTCCGCCCTTAAATAGGTTGTTTCACAACGAGTTATGCCTCAAATGAATTTTTTTCCCCTATACTGTTCACTTCGCAATCGTGTCGAACTGGAACACATAACTTGCCATCTCCCTCTACTAAAGCGTTTTTTTTTTCGGAACTATGAGAAAGGTGTCCTACTGTGCAGTGATGTCTGTCATCCCACATACCCGGAAATTAATATGTTACGTTTTTAAAAATTTAGGGTGTGTATAGTGTGCCCATAGCTCAAAAATGACCACGATTACTATCTATGGTCACCCTGATGGGAACAGAAAGTCTTACACGTCTGATATGTCGTTATGGTCCCTAGTAAGATTGTCAACGCGATAATCCTTTCTTTTTACTTTTTCTCATACATTCCAGCATTGTCTGTTTTTACGCAGAACGCAAGCTGCATTTGCTGGGTAAATGCGAATTATGTCATTGTTTCTCGGGCGTGGTACATGTGTATGAAAAACTGTTGTTCCCCATTAACGTAATGTTTCCCGCTAATACTATCTATGAAGACTCTCTCATGGCGATGTCTTTCGAGTGCAAGTTGAACTAAATTTCGCGTTGCTGCATCACCTACTGAAAATTAACATGGAGGACGGATCACCTATCCGTAAAACTGTCCAGTGATAAAAATGATGAATTTGCAGTTTATCAAAACTTCTAGTGATACTGGCGTAGGACGGTCATTTTCTCTGCAGTAAGTGTGAAATCGTTAAAGTTACATTCACAGTCCCGTGTTGCTGTACTAGCTAAAAGGTAGGTTTACAGTCTGGCACCTGCTCTTCTGCCTTTAGTTCCTCTCAACCGGATGAGAAATCTATAATCCCTATCGAGAAAACCGGCTTTAGATTCATGCGTGGCACTCCCTGCGAGCGAAAGAGACGTTCTCATTTTTCTAACTGAATGTTTATTATGAAGAGTAGGATCTGTCATCCGTTATTCGAGTTACAAAATTGATAAATTATGCCACGCTGCAGCTGGAAGTTGACATTTCCTATAATGCTGAAGATGGCATCTGCATCTTGGAAAGATAAACTCCGTTATCACAATACTCGGGGAATATATTATGGGGCAGAAGAAGAGGGCATTCTTAAAATTCTAGGCTCTTTTTTACCATTGTTTTACCATTATTATATATTTGTTTTCTTGCTAAGGCCTTCGTAAATGCCTTGTAAATATCGTCTTTAGACTTTATTCTGTGTTACCAAGCAAATTGTGGTTCGTTATGGTTTACGTCTGTTGACTGTCTTCAGTATAATTGTGCTTTCACATAAGTACAAAAACGGTTCAATTTTTTGATTTACGTTAGCGGTAAATTTTTTTGACTTAATTCGAGTTTATTACATGCTATCTGACCATGGGCAACAACTGCGTTGCGGTGAAACCTTTGGCCTCACCCATAAAAGCTCACCAGAAAATTTTAATTTTAATCTACGCGTAGTTAAACGATAGATATTATTTACCCAAGGCAGAGGTGTAGGCATATGTACGACAACTTTCAAAGCCATTCGGCCGGTTGTGCGCGCGCTCACCGAGGTGTAGCAAAACAAAGGCTAGTATGTTTAGCCGTCCGAGGGCATACGTAGAATTCGCTTCTCCATTGGGCAAAGAGAAATAAACCGACAGATTTTCCGTCATGTTTCTTTTAATAAAAATTAAGTCTAAGCACAGCGGCCGAGCAATCATCACACCAACACCCAACGCACGTGATGAAATTGCAGCAATTAACGACACGAATGTCGGCCATCAAACAATTAGCACACCAAATGCAACGATCCCGGATGATGGGGGGAGCTGTGAATGTTCATATGTATGTGGTAGCATGGCCAGTGCATCGTATAAATACTGCAGCGCTTGTGCGTAAATCACATGTATCTGCTGTTGTCTCTGATGATGGATTCGAGCAGAAATCCGAAACGTCCGGCTAATAAAGTTCTTGTCATAGCGATCCTGTCTCCGTCTTCATGACTAATTCCTGGGATTCGTATCTTCGCTTCTTTTGGCGAACAACTATGTTCCGTTGCTAAAAATATCTACCGCTCTCCGGACCTGTTACCGAATGCACGGCTACAGACTTAGATATTTATAATTAACAGCTAACCGAGTGTCGCGCACAGAGCAACCGACTGACGCAGCGGATACTTCCACTTACTTGTGCTTAATTCAGCAATCACATCCTGATAACCGCATCACCTAGTCGCTTCCATACTGGAAAGGACTTTATTCAGTATCAGTATCAGTATATTTCAGGGAAAGTAGGTGTGTACCTTTGAAATCCCTATTGGTTAAATGCAGAGGATATATATGGAGGAAATGGAAAGGAAGTAACATGAAAGAAATGCGAGCGGAATAGCAAAAACTGTACAGATGAACACAGAATGTCATGCGTTAACAGAGTTTAGAGGCACGTTAACTTGCTTTGTTGGTCAAAATACAGCGGACAGTTGAGGCTCACTTAAGACACGGGAAAAGAAGTAAAATTGTTTAGTCTACAGGCATCGTGGTGAATGCGAACAGCGGTGTGCGACGTGGCCCATGCTTAATAAATAACATAAACATATATTACTTAAATGTTGGTAGTAGCATCGTTGTAACACTAAATTGTCCGCGTTGGCTGTCAAGGTGGCCGTAGTCTGGCGTTATTGTGGTGCGCGCTACAATGCTGATCTAGTCTCCATTTAAAAGTATCTACCGAGCCTGACATAACAACATCCCCGGGCAAGGCATTCCAAGCTGCAACCACTCTGTTGGAGAAGAAGAACTTTCGGGTGTCTAGCCGGGCGCCAGCCACACGCAGTTTGAGTGGATGGCCTCTCAGGTTAGTCGTAGTCGCCAACTCGAAGAAGTCTCCAAACGCGAGGCAGCAGCCCTGATTGCGCACGATGCGGAAAGCTTGTATCAGGTCCCCACGTAGCTGTCTGTAACCCAAAGGAAAGAGGTCAAGATTAGCTCATCGCGTTTCGTAGGGTAGTGACCACTGCCCAGATACAAGTTTTGTTGCTCGCCGTTGAACTTTTTCGAGTATACCCAAGTCTTTAGCGGTCCAGGGTCGCCATGCTTGGATAGCAAACTGCAGATGCGGTCGCACAAAAGTTTGAAAGACCTTGGCGAAGCAGTCTTCATCAAAGGAGGAGAACGCCCGTTTGACAATGTATAGCATGGACATCGCCGACTTGACCACCTTTGAACATTGCAGCGAAGGCTTAAGCGAGGTTGTGATCCATACACCCAAGTCCTTCTGGGCGTCGACTTCTTGCAGTGGTTTGCCAGTCAGAAGGTAGACCGTGTGGTTAGGAGAACTGGTTCTGCCGACGCGTAGGAAAGTACACTTGTTTACGTTGAACGGTAGAAGCCAGTCTTTCGACCATTGCTCGAGGTGGTCCAGAATTGTCTGCAGTCGCGCCTCGTCAACTTCGCTTCGTATGGTACTCCAAATCTTTATGTCATCGGCAAACATTGCAACATCGCAATTCAGTTTGTTTGCGCAGTCATTGACGTATACGAGGAACAGCGTAGGGCCAAGAACGGAGCCTTGGGGAACACCACTCTTAACGGCAATCTCGGCAGATTGTTGGTCACCGACGTGGCCGGCTTGAGAGCGGCCGATTAAAAAGCTCCGAATCCACATCAAAAGCTTACCCCGCACTCCTGCACGGCTAAGTTTGTATAGAAGGCGGTGGTGAGGCACACTATCGAAGGCCTTTTAAAAGTCGATATAGATGGCATGCACCATATCTCCTCTATCAACAGCCCTAGTCCAGTGTACCAGACAGTAGAGCAGGTTTGTCACACAGGATCTGCCTTTTCGGAATCCATGCTGAGAATCGGAAAGCAAATGGTTTTGTTCAAGGAACTGCATTAGTTGTTGCTTTATTATCTTCTCCATAATCTTACAGCAAATGGAGGTGAGGCTGACCGGTCTGTAACTGTTCGCAGAGACCCGACTTCCGCCCTTGTGCAGCGGCGTAATCCACGCCGACTTCCAGTCGGGTGGCAGATATCCGGTCTCGAAGGATGTATGGAAAAGCATGGAGACTGGCTTAGACAACTCACCGGCGAGTTCCTTCAAAATCTTCGCCGGAATCCCATCGGGACCTGGTGATTTGGATTCCTTTAGCCTCAGCAACTCCGTCAGAACCATACCCTCAGTGAACTGGACGGTCTCTATAATGGGGGTGTCTTCGAAGGATTGAAGGGCCGAAGGGTTGAGTCCTGTTTCGCAACTAAAAACAGAACGAAAAAAGTGCTGAAAGGTGATCAGCTTTCACCCTGTCGTCAGTGAGATGCTCGCCTTCAGCAGTCCTTAGCAGGGGTATTGGGTCCTTGTTCCGCGTGCACTGCCTAATGCAACCGTAGAATAATTTAGGGTTCTCCGCGGCACGGTTAAGCAGATCCCGTTCGAATTCCTTTCTAGTTTTGAGAATAAGACCCTTGACTCGATTTCTTTGGATTTTGTACGCGCATATATATGTTGGGCTCCTGTCAGAAAGCGATTTTTTCCACAGCCGTCGTTTTTTATTCACTTCATTCTTCAAGGCTTGCGTAAGCCATCGAGGTCTGTTAGTTAACCTCTTCCGTGAAAGCGGACAGTGGTTTACGATCAGCTCGTGCAGAATTTCTCGGAACCGTTGCCAGTCTTCGAGTATGCTCCCAACAAATATGGACTCCCACTCAATGCGTAAAATTTTAGCCCTCATTTGGTCGAAATCCCCGCGCCAAATGTTTCTTCTAACTGTCCCGGGTTTCTTGGGCATGGACAAAAGCGAGTAATCCCATAGAAGAACGACGTGGTCACTTTTACCTAAGGGGGGTAGGCATGACACCTCATCAATGCTGTCCTGTGACTTCGTAAGGACAAGATCAAGGCAGTTGGCTTGTTGGCCTTCGCGTACTCTAGTTGGTAACATGACGTGTTGAGTGAGAAATAGCTTCAATGCCGTTTTCAGAAAACTCCTATCGAAGGTCTGTTCTGAGCTATTTGCATGGGTTGAGCTCCAGTCAATATGGGGCGCGTTAAAGTCACCCATGATTAGGATATCCGGCCGCGTAGCGAACTTTTCGAGCTCCTCCAGCAGGCGAGCGTCGGCCATGTTGTCCCGTCTCGGCGGTCGATAAACTGTCAGGACATCGAGGCTAGGCGAGCTCGGCACTTTAATAGACAACTAGATTGCCTCGAACTGCACGAAAAGTTATCGGTCTTGTCTGATACATTTAGCTCATTTTTTACATACGTTAGTACGCCTCCTCCCTGACGCCGTTCCCTATGCCTTCTAAACATCTGGTATCCAGGCAAGGCCAGCTCACGGTCGTCCAGGTGTTGGGTCAACCAGGTTTCTGTTAGAGAGATTACGTCAGGGGATAGGTCGCAGAGGTGGATCTTCAGCTCGTCGAAATTTGATATCAAACTCTGCACGTTGGTGTACAAGAATTTCAATTTCCGGCTGACGGAAGATGTGGTTACATTTGGGTTAGCGCCTTCACTTAATATGTCGGCTGCGCGGTCATTCGGACAGGACCTGTCCAAAGGAAGAGTGACGGACGCCGCCGTACTTGGTTGTTGTATATAACTAAATTATTCTCCCCCTCGCTGAGCCTCTTTCTTAGTTCTAGAACCAGCTGACGACGCTTGAGCCGTTCGGCTGGCGAGTAGTCCGGCTGAAAAAAAACACCGGGTTTGGAGCCTTTAATCTTGAATCGCCTGGAGTAAATGAGACTGGCTTGATCGCTGCTGGTCAGCACAACAAAAGAGGCCGGAGTCGAGTGGACATTGATGGATTATCTGCTCGTTTTCCAAGGCGGAAGGCTTTGATCACTTCAATAGCCTCCGTGGGTTCTAAAATATTATTGAGAAGACCTTGGGAGAGTGATAGGTCTTCCGAAATTCGATCCTTGGGAGTAATTGCACTTGATTCAGGGAGCCCCTGAATAATAAGACATTGTTCTCTGTCGGTCTCTTTTTTTATTTTCTACGGAATTGCAGATGCACTTACGCCGTCTGTTTGTTTGACTCTTATGTTGACAATCTTGGAAGAAGTACACACAAAGTACTGTTTCGATTGTAAAATCTGTAGGTCTACATTACGACTCATAATCCGCCATAAATGATCGATTGACATTTGTATGTCAGACGTCATGGGATCACAATAAACGTAGACGTGTGTCGCAATCCGAAGAGCACTGACATATTTACCCTACGACTGATCATGTAAAGAGATGAGTTAAGAGTAATCACCACAAGATATAATTAGAACACCGTAATAATCCTTTCCGACTTACTAAACGTCAACCGACACCAAAAGACGTTTTCCATGCGTTCAGTGGGTCTTCTAGCACTTTACATCCTGAGAATGTTTAACGTAAGGTTCCAGTTTTGGCCTATTTCGGTTACATCCGTAACTGAGAATAAATGCGTTAGTGTGCAGTCCATCCATTCATTTTATTTGTCTTTGGTAAGTGGACTCCTTTTTGCGGACGCTCAACCCATTTTCATGCAATAAGCACACGTTCGAGACTACTTTCTTAGCGTGAGCATCCATAGAAATTGTGTGCACCTTCAACTAGCGAAGATCATACGATAGGCGAAAATCAGACTCATAATGAACGGAAATTCATATACTTCTGATATCTGTACATTCTGCTGGATTATATGTCTGCGGCGTCCTACACAACTAGACATTACGTAATTTACCTTATATATCAGTTTCATGTCGACAGCACCACCAGCTATTAATATTATTTAACTTACTAATAATTTTCATGTACAAATTATACATTTCCTGGCCTGCATCGACTCGTTTTGTAAATTTTCATCTCCAGTAAACTCCAAACTACTAGGTTAATTTTTTTTTTCTCTAGATACAAGCACTTTTAGCCGCGCGATCGAATGGGGATCACAGGCACCACAGCTCATACCATGTGAACAGACGTGATTAATCCTTTGAACACTTATCAAAAAGACATACATTGCAAAGCAACATGCAAAAAGGCATCCTAGTTAAGTTTATGTTTTATGAACTGCCACGAACTCTATGGCGTTTGCACAGGACGCATAGAACATTAGACAGAGTACATTACAAACGACCAACCACCTCCAACTAAAGAACGTTTAGCACAGTACCAACATTTGACAGTTTAGGTTACCCAAGTGTGTCGGTAAATATCTTAATGAAAGTTATCTAAATCTACAAAAATAATAACGTGAGTTTTTTGTCGTCAGATATACCAAGATGCCCTTATTCTAGTTACGGCTTTACTCTCAATGGTGTTGCTGAATACTTGAATCGGCAAGCTGATTACCACGGCTTCGAGAAAATAATAGCGAGTAAAAAGGGCGTTTCTTCGTCATATTTATAGTCCACGCGGAGCACTTGTCCTTTGATTAAACATTTGTACGGGACGAACAAGCAGAAAGTTACTGGCAATACGCATGCTTATCTCCGACCCCTTATGTCGAGGTTCATATATTATGATAGGTAAAATAAGGTTAATAGTATCACCATTAAGTATACGAGCAAAATGTAGGCCGAACGCTATTTTCGACATGCCTCTAACCTGTGTTCTTATTTCATGCACATTGTCAAACTAACAGAGCTTACATCGGAAAAACACTGGATGATCCGCGAAATACCGCTAAATATTTTAAGATCAAGTTACGTAGTTTAGAACTGAAGGCATCTGCCAATGTTACTTACTGGAAAGGCGACAACAACCTGCCAAATATGATTCAATTGTCCACACTGGTACATATAAAAATGCTTCGGACAATGCATATGAACCTGTCCCTCCAAATTTATTAAAGATGTTAAACATGCGTGCCAGTTAATTCAGAGCCATCCTGCATCAAAAAGTGTTGATTTCACGGTCCATAGTGTGTCGGCAGTAACTTTTGGCAGTACAGAAATATGCGGCCTACAAAGTGAAAATCATATCATGACAATGAACAGACCAGTGGATATTTAACTTCCATTAATCACGAATTTCGTTGCATGAATAATTTTTATGGATTTTCTGCAAGGGATAGTACTTCTTAGATCAAATTACTAACAGGTCGGTCAACCCATTTTTGTGCATAAGAATGATAGGATAAAGATGAATATTGTAAATATTTGTAGTTTTGTCAGACGAAATACTGTCTGCTGTCGTAAAATATCATGTTTAATGAGCTTGGTGTATACGTTGTTTAACATTAGGAAACCAAAATTAAAAGGGGACTCTCAATCGTTTTTCGCTTTTGCATAGGATTTTGCAAAAATGTCAAAAGTATTGGCTGGGTTTTGTTATGAACACGCCGACATGGAGATTTTGAGGGTGCTACGATCATTGATGAGAATGTGCTGTAGGAGGCGCATCGTTTTTCAGTCAAATGGGAAATTCCTTTCCAACCGCATGCAATGTTTGATGTGAGATAGGTTCCTTCTGCGCGAAACACGATTCCACAAACATTATTCATAAATGGGGGGGTTTCTAAATGCTAACTGAGACATGCACCTTTTCGAAAACAAGAAGCTAATTGTATGTGCTTGCGCCCTGGCATTCTACCCAAAGTAATCTGCATAAGACGTGCAACCAAAACTTTATACGATTAGGTCATTGCAAACTGCAGTTGATATGCCTAAAGATCCGTAAACTTGCAATGCCCCTGCATAAATGAATATGTTTAAAGTCACGCTATGTCAGCATCTGCGTTGGCATGATCTGAAAACCATGACCATCACAGTCAGGTGTGGGCTGAAAGTTCTCTGGTAACTGGTTCCCTAACCGTAAATGGCGCTTAAGCATCCGCATGATAAACAGGTCACGAACATGACTACCCGGTCAGACACGTCGGCCTTTCGACCCATTATTAGGGTTAAAATCTTAATTACGCTTTTAGTTTAGAAGGTTACTGGTACTCCTAGGTGCGGCTTCAGCCTTGTCATCCATCTACGCCCTACATCACTGGTCTACATGTGTGTGTGTCTTGAAACGCTTAATAAGTTTAAATTCGTCTTGAAATTTAATATTTGCCAACATTTATATGTTCCTCTAAGCCATCAGAAGGCGTCATATGCAGGCTCATAAACGATTACTATGAATGTGAATTATGCTGCAAACCTCATAAGCCACATCAAAAAATGAACGGTTATGACGCGAAAGGAATGCACTTTTAACGACCTCAAAATATTATAATATAAACGTGATAAAAAACAAAACGCCATGTTTCCTTTAAATATGCAATTAACAGATGACGCACAGTTATATTAAATGAAAACAAGATGAATAAATATAGTGCATGCATTGAATAAAATGGTTATTTGAACAATAGAATGAATATCTCGCAGTACCTGTAACTTTGCCCAGTAGTTTAGAAAAGCATATGCGACCGTGGCCTAACCGTACATATAACGCCTACCCCAACGTCAAATCTAAACTCAGCTGCAAATTAAACCAAGGACATTGGTAAAAGGATGTAGTTTTATGCCTCAGCGGGTTTACTTGAATGTAAAAGAGAACTGTAAATAAAGGGCAAATTCCAAATATATTTAGTAGTCATCTTCAGAGTTTGCAGTATAATTCGTCGGTTATTTGCTCATTGTGTTTATAGAAAATGGCGAATCTGTTTCAAACCCCATTCATAAGGTGCATAGCTGCAGGAAATCAAATAAAATTGCAGAGATTACACAGGGAGAATTTCGGCATATTAACAGCTAGGGCAGATAAAGATAAGAAGTTAAATGGCGGGAGGTTCAAGAAATGGTAAGTTAGCATGTAATAATTTTAATAGCGCCCGAAGTAATTTTAAATAGCAGAAGTTATCAAGACCACGTTGGTGGTAAGGTAGTGGAGTACAGTCTTGACTTTACAAAGCTGCATCCAGATGATTTACAGTGAAAATCTCGGCATGGAGACTGCGCGCTTTACTTTAGCGAAAGATAAAAAAGAATGACTGTAATTGCGAAAAGGAAGAAACGCTGGTCATAATGACCGGTAATTTTTTTAAGTTCATAACACTATCGTCTGAAATCAAGATCAAACCTCCCCAAAAGCCACAACGCTATTAGAATTCGCATATGTACTGTTACGAGTGGGGGCTTAAATCAATCAAAATCTGATCGTATGTCAATTGATTTAGATGAGAAACAACCTTTTGGCACGTTGACGTTATATCGTTACGAAGGTATCTCCATGACGCAAAGATGCTTTCAGATTTTATATGAAAATTGATATTAGGGAAGGGAAATACTTTACAATGTCTACGAAGATGAACAGAAGATTCTATCAGAAGAAGCGATCGCTGGAACAAGGTCTTTATTCGCCTGACGTTTCGGATTCTCACTTGAATCCATCATCAGAGACAGTAGCAGAAAAGGGTGACGCCTGCACAGGAAGCTGCAGTATTTATAGGATGCAGTCGCTATGATACCGCACACCTATAGCAATTAACCGCGTTCCCCTTCATGAAGGACCGTTGCCCGATGGTGCGCTTATTGCTTGCTGGCCGGCATGCAAGTTGTTAATAACCCAATAGTCCTCACCCGTGTTGGATGCTGGCGTGATGATTGCTCGGCCATCTGGCTCACCGGCTTGCGCGCGCCCCGAGTGGTCAATTAACTTGGCCAGCCTATGCCTCCCCACGCAGTATGGAGTGGGCATGTCGTTGCACTTGTTGATTGATTGAGGTCCCGTGAACCATGACTCAAGCAACTCGCGGCTCACACGATTATCCCCTCTCGCGAGAATTTCGACCTCATCGAACTTGAATGTGTGGCCGGGTCTCGTCGAATGGGCCGCGACCTGTGAGTTGGCATCATTTGTCCGTACCGCTGCCGCGTGTTCGGCAATTAGCGTTCGAAGCAGTCTTCCAGTTTCTCCGACGTAGTTGCTTTGTCCGCAACTGCATCAGATCCGGAAAACGACTGCTGATGTTTCATGCCGTGGCAGTGGGTCTTTTGGTCTCATCATCAGACGCCACATGGTGGCCTCTGGTCTGTGTGCAACTCCAACCCCAAGAGGTGCAAGAAGGCGGCTAACCGCCTCGGAGACGTTCTTGATGTACGGGATCGCTCGCCAGAATCTGTGGTCGGCACGGTTCTCTTTCTGGTCTCCTCTGCGCATTCACCGGTTGACGAAGTTGCTCGGGTAACCATTGGCTCTCATTACCCGTCGAAGATATTGTAAGTCAGCAGCCCTGTCGTCCATTTCACTGCAGTTCGTCTCAACGCGCCGGTATAGCGCCCTTACGCAACTGCGTTTGTGACTGATCGGGTGGTTGCTATTGAAGTTTAGTATTTGCGTCGTATTTGTCGCTTTCCCGAACACTTTGGTCTTTAGACCACCACAATCATTGCGGCAGACGAGGACGTCAAGAAAGGCCAGCTGGTTATTTTTTTCCTCCTCCATCGTAAATTGTATGTCCGGGAAGACGCTTTTGAGACGTTCTTTGAACGTAAGCACCTGATCCCGTTCGATGACGACGAAGGTGTCATCCAAATACCGAGCCCAGAATTTGGGTCTGTGGTGTTGAAGGACCAGCGACTCCAACCGCTGTAGGACCACCTCGGCTATGATTCCCGAACTCGGCGACTCCATTGGCGTTCCTTTCACTTGCTCGGAGATTGTTCCGTCCACGTAAATTACGTCTTGAGACAGAACTTCAGGAGCTGGATGTTTTGGACGTGTCCGAGGCGATTCTCCGTTCCGTCGTATTTCTCTCTTAGGAGTAGTTCGATGGTCTCGACTGCCAGGCCCTGCGGGATAGAAGTAAACAGTGACGTGACATCAAACAGAACCATGATGTCGCTTGGCAGGAGACTTACTCCGTTTGGTTTCTCCAAGAATTGCGTTGAGGAGCTGACTGTGGTTTTTGAGTCGGAGGTCAGGAACTTGAGACGTTGGAACAGCCACTTTGCCAGTCCGTAGGTTGGAGTGGGCTTTAGTGATACGATAGGCCGGAGAGTAGCGCCCCCTTTTGTGCACTTTTGGGAGACCGTAGAATCGGGCTAGGGCCGTTTCTTGTGCTCTCGCCATGCGTCGGTCGATTGGCGATATTGCACCTGAATTCTCCAGTGCCAACAGCGTCGCGTTAATCTCGCGTGTCAGCGTTTTCATGGGGTTGGATTCGCATGGGACATAGGACTGACGATCCTCCAACGAGCTTTTTGATTTTGATTGTAGTCTGTCCTGTCCAATACGACCGTTGAACGTCCCTTGGCCGCAGCCACGATAAGGAGGTCGTTGTCGGCCCTGAGTTCCTTAAGTGCATCACGCTCGACCTTGGAAAGCACGTCGCGCGTCCTATAAGCCATGAGGATGGAGGACACTTGGTGTCCAATGAGGTTCTTCGTTTCGTCTGTTACAACTTGTCGTCAAATTAGCTGACGGAGGAGCAAATGCAGGTTTTACGTCATGAGGCCTCAATCGACACAGCCGATGCCAAACCTGCCAACATGATCGCAGCAGCGGAATCAATACTCAGCCAGACTGGATCGATAGACGAAACGAAGAATCTCATTGGACACCAAGTGTCCTACTGGAAAACAAGGTTGCCGAATTCCAATATCTCGACGGATTTTCTGAGGCAATGGTTACCCGCCCAACTTTGTCAACCAGTGCATACAAAATGACACCAGAGACCAAATTCAACCGACCCCGAATTTTGGCGGGCTCTTCCGTACGTGAAAATTGTCTCTGAAGCCGTCAGTCGTCTTCTCACTCCAACTGGATTTGGTGTTGCACACAGGCCGGAAGCAACCATTAAGCGTCAAGTCATGAGGCCAAAAGATCTGCTGCCACGGCAGGAAAAGTCTGGAGTCGTTTACCGGATCTGGTGTTGTTGTGGACAAAGCAATTATGTCGCAGTAACTGGGAGATTACTCCGAACTCGAAATGCCGAGCACGCAGCAGCAGTGAGGCGCGGAGACGCTAACTCTCAGTTGGCGGCACACTCGACGGGACCTGGCCATATGTTCAAAATTTAAGAGGCCAAAATCCTCGCAAGGGTTGACAACCGCGTGAGTCGCGAGCTGCTGGAGTCAGGGTTCTCAGGCCCGCAATCCATCAACAAGCACAATGACCTCCCGGTACCCTATTCCGTACTACGATTTTCTCAGTGACAGGAGAATCAGTCACGTAGGGTGGGCGCGGGCGAGCAATCATCACGCAGACAGTGAGCCAGCAAACAGCACTAACTAACTAACGTTTTGCTTATGCGCCTACCGGATTCACTCTGATGCTTCTTCTAGAATGTGAAACAGTTAGCGGTCCAGGACTGGTTAACTGACCGCATCTGCAAATTTTAAATTGCTCTATAGTCAGATCAACTTAAAAATGCATGGTAATTTAAACAAATGAATTGCCTGTTACCCTTACCAACCATACTGAATAAAATGAAAATAGGCCTGCACAATATATTTTGAGCAAAGGCATTCTGAGTATGTTTGCTGTCTTCGGGAAATTGGTGTTCGGCGTGGACAAAGTTAGAAAATTAAACACTTAGTGTTATAGGCCTCACTTAGGATGACGGTCTACACAGATTCCAGTCACACCTCTAGGTCTATCACCTCAGAATTTCGATTTGATTTCGTTAAATTTTTTTTTCACTGAATAAGTCTGTACACTAACTGAATCCTGGGGTGTTCCTTTGCGTCGACCTAGGGGCTTGGGATTGTATGCACGTCTGGGAAAGCAATAATTCACGCTAAGGTTTAACACCGCCTCAAACCAATCTGCCCTGACCTGACAGACAGGCCGATTAAGGGGCATGGCAAATCGTAAGGCCACGAGGGTTTGCATCTTTAGACACACATCAGTCATCAAACTGACACTGGCCTCTTCAAGTTCATCCAACAAGACGTCAAAAAACCCGCACTTACGCCATCTGTCCCGCATCCTACAGCAGTGTGGGCTAGATAGGATGCCGTCTGAGACCGTTGGTCATCTTCTTTGTATAGTCATAATACTAATTACTTTAAAACATTTTTAGTGATAGAAGGTAGAATTATGGCCCAAGCCGGGAACACGGTCTTGCACTCGAACCTCGCTTTAAACATTCCAACATAAGTAGTCCATATGAAATCAGCTGTCTCTCCCAAGTGAGCGTATTGCATTTTGTGTTGCCTGCTTGAAAGACAATCTTACAAGCGCAGAAGAGAGACAATTTGAAACCTCAACTAATCGATATGTTTAACAACTAAGGCATTTGCAACGTTCTTTGACTACCCAGTACCAGTGCCTAATAATTTTCAATAGTAAATCTACACGCGAAAATCATTGCTATATAAACACATTTTGTCCAGTCTTTAATTTGGTAGGTGGTTGGAACATGAAATGCGTGATGGTGCCATAAGGGGCATATAAGGAAAAACTGATTCGGCTTAAAAGCCGGTGATCCCAAATGCCTCTCCAGCCTTCCGCAGTACATCCAAACGAGGGCACGCGGAGAACTTCGTATTTTGTCAAATGACACTGCCCTTGTCATAAAAGTCATCACATTTAAAATAAAACCGTTAAAGAATTTGTACTCAATGTGTTAAAATCATTTGGAAACTTTGTTTAGTCACTTGTTAGAGGGCATTGGCACTTTTGTTGCACATTCTACGAGTTGCAAAGATGTTTGGATGAGGTTACCTTATGTGGATACCGCCAATACGCAAACTTGAAAATCCAATTTCTTTTCATTTAGATGATCTTCCATTAAACGCCAGGAGGGATTTTTTAGCAGCAACAAAATCTCCAGCCTGAGTAAACTTCAAATCCTATCGTAAAATTTAGTATGGCATTCACTCTAACTCTGGATAAAACTTCCATGCAACTTAGCGCAATAACCACCTGTATCCTCAACTGTTACTATTCCCGTCTTTGGCTGCAGAAGGGAGCAGGCATAAACTGTGCACGTCATGTCCTGTGTAAGTAAACATCTGATCTTCAGTGACCGATAGGGGCAGTCAACGAGGCACTGGTGAACGCCGGTCCGTCGAAGTTTTTGTTTTTCCGATCAAAGCGGGATAATGATTGAGTGAATCAAAGCCAACAAGCCTGAAATAACGCTCTATTAGTTTATCCCCAAAACCCGTTGTATCTCCACTGGTAGTATAGTTTTGTCGACTTCGGTCTGCTTACTGATTGCCTGTTCTTGATCTCTACCACGCATTTAAAGCTTGTTTGCTTCGGAAGCCCAATGAATAGATGTGACTCCAATCATGAGCAATTGTTACTTCATAATACCCCGTTTCTTTCCTAAACGGATTATCATAATCGACAAGTGGGTCTTGACCTACAAGTATACGTCGTTCCGTTATGTGGACCACTGGAAACCACCGAGATATCTGATACTTGGTTTAAATAATTTTATACTGGAGACATCTATCAATTTCAGACACTTACTGCTGTATAACAAATACCAAATAGCATCTGCCAATCCCCTTTAGAACTCCGGCGTACATTTTCAAGTGCTTCAATATGCCATTCTATATCCAACAATTTCCTTTTACGAAACCTACTAAGGGTACGCGATCGAAATTTTTATTTTTATTTTTAACAAAACACAGTTGGACATTCTGTGTGTAGGCAGCAAAGTGGAGGAGTTCTTGGAATTAATGAATAAACTAATTTTTCGTTATGCCACTTTATCTTTGCATTGTCTATTGAAGCGAACATCGGTGATCCAGGAACCAGTTCAGAAGATAACGTCATGACCACTGGAACAGAGTGTTTTACTGGCCCCACGCAAACCCATTATCCGAGACAGCCGCAAATAAGGGCAGTTGAGTCACACAGAACGCATTACGTATATTGTGTAGCTGCCGTAGGACCACATGCGTACTATAAATAACAGCTTGCGCTATCACCGGTAGGATTCAAAATTGAGGCGATAATAACTCGTCAATCAGCGTCCAAGTCGTTAATTGTCGCAATGTCACCATCTGGGATTGTTGCTCGCTCACGCCTTCCACACGCGACCTATTCCCATGCTCAGGAAATACCTCCGCACCTAATATGGTAAGGGGAAATCATTGTGCTCTTCGATTGTTTACGGGCCTGAGAACCAAGCTTCTCGTAACTCAAGGCTCACACGGTTGTCACTCCTTGTAAGGAATGGGGTCTCGAAAATTGAAAATATGGCCGGTTGCCGTAAACTGAGCTGATGTTTAAGTGCTAATGCCTTTTATGCCCACCGATGCTGTGTTCTTGCTCATCGACGTCTGGAGATATCCCCAGGTATCTCTGACGTTTTTACTATGTCCGCAATAGCACCAGATCCGGCAAACGACCCCACACGTTTTCTGTCGTGGTAGTGTGCCTTTCGACCTTATTGCCTGGCGTCTGATAGGCTTTCCAGCATATAGTTTCGACGATCATAGTTCTTTATCCGAAGTGGTCCAGCAGCCTTAACACAATTCTTCTGTACATCATTAGGCAACCGTTCGCATGTTTTATACGGTGATTAATCAAAATTTTTCAATTGATAATATTTGAGTCCCGTCCTCCTTACTCTTCCATACAGTTTGCTGTCTTTCGGACACTCTAACTCCGATGCTTGCTCTAGTCTTGTTCTATGAGTCCGTGCACCTCCTCGCTTAATGTGACACCAAAGCATATGAATAACATGTCAAATATCACAGTCTTGTAGTCCGGTTTGACCCACAGTCGTGGTTAGCGACAAGATGTCACAAGTTCGTGCATCAAAGGACGACCAAGTAAACTCGGCACACTAACCTCTCTCCTGGACCTCCGGAATCCGCGCGCGTGCAGTACGCCGTCTGGAATATTTTGCGGCTGTTGTGAGGTTTTTACCAATGTACACTTCGAAACGTATGCATTTGTAAATGACAAGATGGAGAAGTCGATCAAAATTCAGTTGCATTTGTAGGGTTATATTTCAGACGGCCGGCAACACCCAATTCAGCTATTTGAGATGCAAAATATGTATCCAAAAAAACAATTTTTAACTGGTTTCGTAAATTGAAAACCTGAAAGGTTTTAACAAGAATACACATAATAGCAATAATTAATTATCATCCTAAGTAGACTTAACTAGGTTTCATACTGCTGACAATTACTAATGGCAGTCCGTGGACAGGACCTAAAAAAAACCATCTTTGAGAGAGAAG